GTTAGAAATATTTATGAACGATGAATATATTGTTTTTATTAATGATCAATGTTCAGTAATCAACATTATGTTGTAGGATTCTGAAAAAAAAAACATGGATTTTTTGCATGTTTCCTTGTGCAAAATTTCACTACAGCGTTCAATTCAGGTACTGACAAAATTTTCATACGATAGATGTCATTGAAAGTTCTAAATTTTGAGATTTTGAGGAGTAGAAAAACACAGCAAAATTTGAGTCAATAATATAGATAAATGTTACTATTGGGCTCATAGCCGACCAATCGATAAAGATATAGGAGAGTCTCTACGTCATTTTGGGCTTATATGCTGCCGATCGGTTAGGACAAATACGACCCTAAGGAACTGAATGGTCAGCATGCGGGAAAAAGTCTCTTAGTCGTTCGATCCGACAAGTCTCTCAACCATTCGGTCTCGACAAGCTTCTCAGTCGTTCGGTCCCACAACTGTTGAGCAGAGTTAATGCACAAATAAATGGGTAACGGCTACCGTTAAACAGTTAAGGTTTGCATTAATGACCATTAAGAGGTAAATTAATTGGTCAGATTCCTTTAAACTCTATAAATAAGGGTTTAGGTTCGAGGTAAACTCACATTCTACTGACACTCAAAAATACTCCACAGTGATAACAAAACCACTTTCTTGAGAGCTAAGACTCCATAACCTACACCTAACTTGAGCGTCGGAGTGCCTTTTGCAGGTACCTCACCCCTTTTTTCCACGAAGTCAACCGAGCGGTCAAAACTGAAGTCCACTGATTGGCTAGTACCGAAGGCAACCGAGCGGTCTATATTGGGAGCATACAAGCGGAGCACACAAGTCAAATGTTAGTGTCTCGGTCTCAAAATCCCTATCGAAACATTTTGGCGCCCACCGTGGGACCGAGAGCAAGCAGAAGAATTTCAAATGGTGACCACAAGGAGCATGGACGGATAGTAGAATACCTGAGATTTGATAGCACATATGCAAGCACAAATACAGACACAGGCAAGAACCATACAGGCGTAGGCACTAGCACAACAAGAGATGCAACAAAAACACGAAGAGGAGATTGCGGCACTGAGGGCAGAACGAGGCCGCACCGAACGGTCAGCTCAGCACTCGGTGTCCAATGTCGAACGGGGTAACAACCATCAAAATGAAAATGATGGAAGTCGTAATCGGCAACCATCTCAGCATACCAACCCAAACGGTCGGGGAAGGAGAGAATCGTCTCCCCCACAAACCGTTCGACCCTCTAGTTTTCTCCCCTTTACGGAGGCCATCATGCAAACTTCGAAGCAATAGAAGAATCCTTCTGTATTAGATAAGTATGATGGCTCCGCAGACCCCGACAATCATCTCAGGATCTTCACCAATGCAATGGCGTTCTACTCGGACAGTGATTCGGTTATATGCAGAGCCTTTTCCTTATCACTCAAGGACGAGGCATTAGAGTGGTATAATACTCTTCCCCCAAACATAGTGGATTGCTTTCCCATTGTGGAAACCCTCTTTAGAAGGCAATACGCCTCCAATCGGAAACAAGAGATAAAACCGGTAGAATTGGTAAATACTAAGCAGGAGAAAGGGGAAACTTTGAAGGCCTTTATGAAAAGGTATACTGAAACTGCACAGCGAGTTAAAGAGGTCAATCACTCTTTTATCATCAACAATTTGCCTTCATGTCTGAGACCAGGATATTTTGCAGAAAAATTGTATGCGCGACCATAAAAAACTATGGAAGAACTCCAAGAAAGAGCAGCTGAATTCATCAGTATGGAGGAAATGCAAATCTCACAGAGAAAGCGACAACAAGAAGCTGATGTAGGTGGAGGCAGAAGGGACGACAAGCGACTGTTCGGAAATAATGATAAAAGTGGGGAGCTTCCCCGAACATTTAAGTTTAACCATTATACAGCCCTCAACGCACCTAGGACAAAAGTTCTCGAAGAAGCCCTAAACGCAGAACTTCTCGCACCCAAAAGAAAACCATCTCCAAAAAACGCAGACGAAAAGAAGAGTTGTCGTTTCCATCAGAACCACGGACATACTACAGAAGAATACATTACGCTGAAAAATGAAATAGAAAGTCTCATTTGGGTAGGACATCTCCATAGGTATATAAAGGAAGCAAGAAGAAGCTTCCCCAGGGAAGGATATTTGCGAAGAAGTCCAGAACGAGCGTATAGGAAGTACGAGCGAGGGTAGGGTTATACTCGCAGTCCCAGTCGTTATCGTGAACGATCAGTTCGTGGAGTTATCAACTGAGGAGAAGCATCCAAAACTCTATTAATGTCATGTTTAAATTCAGTTTCCTTTGATTTAGACTTTTGTTATTGTCTTATGCTTTAATTATGGAATAAATAAAGTCGATAAATTCATGCTCAGTCATTGACTGCCAACTTTGTTAAAGAAGTTCATATTCAACCAAGAAGTCTCTCATGAAGAGCGTGCAGCCAAAGACCAAGAGGTAAATCCCTCTCGGCCGAGAGGTAAATTCCTCTCGCTGAAGTCAAAGATTGAAAGGTAAATCCCTCTCGGCCGAGCAGTAAATCCCTCTCGTCAGCCTGAAAGCTGAAGTTAAAGCTCGGGGACAATTTACCTCTCAGCCAAGAGGTAAATTCCTCTCATTGATGTTAAAGATCGAGAGGTAAATTCATCTCGCTGAAGGCCGAGAGGTAAGTCCCTCTCGGCCAAGAGGTAAATCCCTCTCGTCAACCATAAGGCTCCAAAGACAAAGACCGAGAGGTAAATCCCTCTCGATCGAGCGGTAAATCCCTCTCGTCAACCAGAAGGCTCCAAAGACAAAGGCCGAGAGGTAAATCCCCCATGGCCGAGCGGTAAATCCCTCTCGTCAAAAACTTCAAGCCAAAGATCGATAGGTAAATCCCTCTCGACCGAAAGGTAAATCTCTCTCGGTCGAGAGGAAACAATTTGAAATCAAAGACCAAGAGATAAATCCCTCTCGGCCGAGTGGTAAATCCCTCTCGCCAACAATTTGAAGTCAAAGACCGTGCGGTAAAAACCTCTCGACCGAGAAGTAAGTCCCTCTCGCCAATAATTTGAAGTCAACGATCGAGATGTAAATCCCTCTCGCAAACAATTTGAAGTCAAAGACCGAGTGGTAAATTCCTCTCGGTAGAGAGGTAAATCCCTCTCGCCAACAATTTAAAGTCAAAGACCGAGNACAATTATGTTGAACCTTTTTCTTTTATAAAAATTGTTTAATGTTTTTAAATTTAAATTATTTTTTAATTTAATTGAAAATGAATTATCTACAATATTTTTTTCAATTTTTTATTCTAATATATATGTTTGGTATTATTAGATTTTATATTAGTTATTAAGAAATATGTTATTTTGAATTTAAAAGTTAAAAACAAAAAAATAGAATAACTTTTATAAATTAAGGATATAATTAAAAAATTATATTATTTTGAAATTTAAATTATAAGAAACGAAAAGGAATAACTTTAGTTTCAAAGAATTGACTTTTGAAAAAGGAAGGAGGAGGTATCTAACAAACAAAATAATACATATATTTACTCATTATTTCTCTACATCAGAGAAGATTATTTTTGTTTCATTTTTTATCGTGTTTTTCTATAAAATAGAATATTGATTGACAAGTCATTGTTTTAAAAAAAAATTATTTATTTTTTCATTGGTATCTTTTTCATGTTATAGTTATAAATTTTATTTAGAACTTATTTTAAGGATTTGATGTATTACTTAGTATTTTCTGATGTCAGTTATGATTTTTTGTTTGATTTTACGATTTTGGGTATATTACGTCAGTTTGTTCTGTTCTGCATATTTCCTCGAAGTTCACAAGAAACGCGGTACTGAGCTTATTACTTTTTAGTCGGTAATTTATTACGACGTTTGACTCACTATTTTTTATTCTTAAATTACTGTTGATGTCACAAAATACGATAGATCATTTACTGTGGTGGATTGATCTCTTTCAAAGAATTTGAAAATAAATTAGTAACAGAAAAAAATTGTAATTTTATATGAATCAATTAATCTTATTTTTAAATATTTTCTGCTTTTATATATTTTACAGAACATCTGTTTTTGCTTTCCCTCTTTTTCAGATTTGAAACAGTCCAATTTGACTATTAACTCCTGATTTTTTTATTTTGTTTCTAAGAGTTTTGTATTTGAGATATTGTTAGAAATATTTTTCTCCTGATATTGTTTCTTTTAATTTTATCTTTATCACTGAAAAAGAATGTAAGCTTTTTCATCGGATATGCGTTCCAAAAGATGATGATTTTCAACTTAAAAAAATAAAAAGAACTTATGTTGAGAAACAAAAAAACACATCGATCCATGATTGTACTTTTAATTTGATTTCAATTTACCTAGATGGGAATAGCGTCACTATTAGAAATTATGTAGTAAAATAAATCTTAATGTCTTTTTGTCTTATTTTCTTCCCTTTTTGGGAGGAAGGATAAAAGGTAAAAATATATATAAGAAGAAAAAATTGTGATAGAAGAGAAAATCTCTTTAATTGGAAAAAGGGTTCATGACTTTATTTTTCCCATTTTTGGAGAAGAGTTAGGATTCTTGAGAATATATTTTTACTTTAAGTAGCTTAGTTACATCTGCAATTCATTATTATTCATAATGACATAATATTATTATGATAATATTTTATTAGAAAATATTTTTTTAACAATTTTTTTAACAATTTTTTATAATTGACTACGTGGCTTGTGATTGAATCCTTTCAAATACAAGGATCAATAAAATAATGATTCTATGGTTAAAAAAAGTGGTTAACATTCTATTTCATTTTAAAAATATATTTCTCTTATACAATGTATTAATTTTAATTAAAATTAACTGGATTTTCTAGTTAACCCAAAAGTTAATTAGTTTTATCTGATTTCAATCTTCTTTTTTCTAACGTGATATAATTTTTTTTACCCACAATTGAATCTAGAATTTCTCACCTTCACTTTCAAATCCATCCCAAATATTAATTAGTGGGAGAGTTGAATCTGAAATCTTTATATCATCTTATAACTTTCATATAAATTTTTAAACGGTTAAAATTAGTTTTGTCAAAGGTTCGCATAGTTAATTATCATGGGTCATAATCCCGCATTTTCCCTTTATTTTCTGGGTTTGAAGCAAGTTCTTGAAATTATCATAGGATAACGAACCAGCTAGTGGTACAAATTTGTGAAACCGTGCAGGGCCTTCTTTCAATGTTGAGATTTGAATTAAAAGCATTTATCTTGAGTGTGCAAATTAATTGTTACGGTGGAATCATGTTCAAAATTTTGATACTAGTAAAAATTCCAGGAAGCTATAGTGAGTACAGCAATTGCTGGTGCAATTATAGGTGCTGCAGTGGGTGGATGGATGAACGATCGTTTCGGAAGAAGGAAATCAATCCTTTTAGCTGATACCCTCTTTTTGGTTGGGTCAGTTATCATGGCTGCTGCTTCTAGCCCTGCTATTCTCATCGTGGGTCGAGTTTTTGTTGGCCTCGGCGTTGGAATGGCTTCAATGGCATCCCCTCTTTACATCTCTGAGACTTCCCCCACCAGGGTTCGCGGAGCCCTTGTAGCTCTCAACAGTTTCCTCATCACTGGTGGACAATTTCTTTCCTACCTCATCAACTTGGCTTTCACTAAGGTCAGCTAAATCTTCTCTTTTAATACTATAATATAACTTTTTAAATAATTATTATAGAAGTATAGATCTGTTTTACATGGTGAAAACAAAACTTATTTTCTCATACCATAAACGGAATTGCATAATATCTTTAGCTTACGCTGTCTTGGTCGCATGATATCCATGTTGTGTAGTTGAATTTCTATATGACATTGCTTTCTGTAAACGTGATCAGAGTCTTGTTAATTTTTTATTCAGGCTCCGGGTACATGGAGGTGGATGCTTGGAGTGGCTGCTCTACCTGCTGTAATACAATCGGTGTTAATGTTTACACTCCCGGAATCACCTCGCTGGTTGTTCAGAAAGGTTTAATCATCGTTAATACTTTTTTTTGAGTCTTTACTCTTTCTCTGTGATAATTGTATCTTTCTATGGGCTTATATGTTTTTTCATTATGTAACCTACAGGGAAGGGAAGAGGAAGCAAAAGTAATATTAAGGAAAATTTATCCATCTAGTGATGTGGAATCTGAAATTCAAGCTTTGCGGGATTCAGTTGCATTGGAAATGAAGGAAGTAGCTTCAGACAAAATCAGCATAATCAAACTGTTGAAAACAAAAACTGTGAGGAGAGGTTTGTGTGCTGGAATGGGACTTCAATTCTTCCAACAATTTACAGGTATCAACACTGTCATGTACTACAGTCCCACAATTGTTCAGTTGGCTGGTTTTGCATCCAACCGGACTGCACTTCTTCTGTCCCTGATCACTTCTGGGCTGAATGCATTCGGTTCAATCGTGAGCATATACTTCATCGACAAGACTGGACGAAAGAAACTTGCCTTGTTGAGTTTGTTTGGCTGTGTTTTATCCTTGGCCCTTTTAACTGCCACTTTCCGCCAGACTGAAACTCATTCTCCAATGATTAGTTCTATCGAGACCTCTTACTTCAACAACACCTGTTCTGATTTTAGCAAAGCTGTGAATCCTATTGAATGGGACTGCATGAAGTGTCTAAAGGCAGAATGTGGCTTTTGTGCATCCGGCTCTAACAAAGTAAGTCAAATGCTAACCACTATAAGTTGGTGTAGATCTAACTCTCATATATAAATTTTTTTTCGAGTTCCAATTGAAACCTACTTTTAATACAATGTCTCTCCATACCTTTAATTTCTCTCTATATATGGTTGTTCTTACACTGGTGTGTTTTGTATGTGCATGCAGCTCTTACCTGGGGCATGTTTGAGTTCTAATGATGCCCCAAAGGCTCTTTGTCTCAAAGATCATAGAGCATGGTATACAAAAGGATGTCCTAGCAAAATGGGTTGGCTTGCAATAGTGGGACTTGCACTGTATATCATATTCTTCTCACCAGGGATGGGAACTGTTCCATGGGTTGTCAATTCAGAAATCTATCCTCTAAGGTACCGTGGAATATGTGGTGGAATTGCTTCCACGACATGTTGGGTTTCCAATCTTGTTGTTTCCCAGACCTTTTTAACTTTGACAGTGGCTATTGGGACAGCATGGACATTCATGTTATTTGGAGTGGTTGCCCTCGTTGGAATTTTCTTCGTTCTCATTTTCGTGCCAGAAACTAAAGGAGTTCCAATGGAAGAAGTTGAGCAGATGCTGGAGGAAAGAGCTGTGAATCTTAAGTTTTGGCAGAGGAGAAGTGCTCCCCAGAAGGGTTGATAAGTTTGAACCAAAACATTGTTTAAAAAATAAGTTTTATGTGTCACTTCATATCCGTATGATGTTCGATAAAACTGGTTTCTTTTAAGGTTAAGTAGCGAAGAATTGTGTATAGACATTTTCTAGCTTTTGTTAGTAGGGTTTTTCCCTTAAGATTTGTTGTTCTGTTTCATTTTCTGTTATTTTAGTTGTTGTTTGACTAGTATGTTAGAAATATTTATGAACGATGAATATATTGTTTTTATTAATGATCAATGTTCAGTAATCAACATTATGTTGTAGGATTCTGAAAAAAAAAACATGGATTTTTTGCATGTTTCCTTGTGCAAAATTTCACTACAGCGTTCAATTCAGGTACTGACAAAATTTTCATACGATAGATGTCATTGAAAGTTCTAAATTTTGAGATTTTGAGGAGTAGAAAAACACAGCAAAATTTGAGTCAATAATATAGATAAATGTTACTATTGGGCTCATAGCCGACCAATCGATAAAGATATAGGAGAGTCTCTACGTCATTTTGGGCTTATATGCTGCCGATCGGTTAGGACAAATACGACCCTAAGGAACTGAATGGTCAGCATGCGGGAAAAAGTCTCTTAGTCGTTCGATCCGACAAGTCTCTCAACCATTCGGTCTCGACAAGCTTCTCAGTCGTTCGGTCCCACAACTGTTGAGCAGAGTTAATGCACAAATAAATGGGTAACGGCTACCGTTAAACAGTTAAGGTTTGCATTAATGACCATTAAGAGGTAAATTAATTGGTCAGATTCCTTTAAACTCTATAAATAAGGGTTTAGGTTCGAGGTAAACTCACATTCTACTGACACTCAAAAATACTCCACAGTGATAACAAAACCACTTTCTTGAGAGCTAAGACTCCATAACCTACACCTAACTTGAGCGTCGGAGTGCCTTTTGCAGGTACCTCACCCCTTTTTTCCACGAAGTCAACCGAGCGGTCAAAACTGAAGTCCACTGATTGGCTAGTACCGAAGGCAACCGAGCGGTCTATATTGGGAGCATACAAGCGGAGCACACAAGTCAAATGTTAGTGTCTCGGTCTCAAAATCCCTATCGAAACATTTTGGCGCCCACCGTGGGACCGAGAGCAAGCAGAAGAATTTCAAATGGTGACCACAAGGAGCATGGACGGATAGTAGAATACCTGAGATTTGATAGCACATATGCAAGCACAAATACAGACACAGGCAAGAACCATACAGGCGTAGGCACTAGCACAACAAGAGATGCAACAAAAACACGAAGAGGAGATTGCGGCACTGAGGGCAGAACGAGGCCGCACCGAACGGTCAGCTCAGCACTCGGTGTCCAATGTCGAACGGGGTAACAACCATCAAAATGAAAATGATGGAAGTCGTAATCGGCAACCATCTCAGCATACCAACCCAAACGGTCGGGGAAGGAGAGAATCGTCTCCCCCACAAACCGTTCGACCCTCTAGTTTTCTCCCCTTTACGGAGGCCATCATGCAAACTTCGAAGCAAGAGAAGAATCCTTCTGTATTAGATAAGTATGATGGCTCCGCAGACCCCGACAATCATCTCAGGATCTTCACCAATGCAATGGCGTTCTACTCGGACAGTGATCCGGTTATATGCAGAGCCTTTTCCTTATCACTCAAGGACGAGGCATTAGAGTGGTATAATACTCTTCCCCCAAACATAGTGGATTGCTTTCCCATTGTGGAAACCCTCTTTAGAAGGCAATACGCCTCCAATCGGAAACAAGAGATAAAACCGGTAGAATTGGTAAATACTAAGCAGGAGAAAGGGGAAACTTTGAAGGCCTTTATGAAAAGGTATACTGAAACTGCACAGCGAGTTAAAGAGGTCAATCACTCTTTTATCATCAACAATTTGCCTTCATGTCTGAGACCAGGATATTTTGCAGAAAAATTGTATGCGCGACCATAAAAAACTATGGAAGAACTCCAAGAAAGAGCAGCTGAATTCATCAGTATGGAGGAAATGCAAATCTCACAGAGAAAGCGACAACAAGAAGCTGATGTAGGTGGAGGCAGAAGGGACGACAAGCGACTGTTCGGAAATAATGATAAAAGTGGGGAGCTTCCCCGAACATTTAAGTTTAACCATTATACAGCCCTCAACGCACCTAGGACAAAAGTTCTCGAAGAAGCCCTAAACGCAGAACTTCTCGCACCCAAAAGAAAACCATCTCCAAAAAACGCAGACGAAAAGAAGAGTTGTCGTTTCCATCAGAACCACGGACATACTACAGAAGAATACATTACGCTGAAAAATGAAATAGAAAGTCTCATTTGGGTAGGACATCTCCATAGGTATATAAAGGAAGCAAGAAGAAGCTTCCCCAGGGAAGGATATTTGCGAAGAAGTCCAGAACGAGCGTATAGGAAGGACGAGCGAGGGTAGGGTTATACTCGCAGTCCCAGTCGTCATCGTGAACGATCAGTTCGTGGAGTTATCAACTGAGGAGAAGCATCCAAAACTCTATTAATGTCATGTTTAAATTCAGTTTCCTTTGATTTAGACTTTTGTTATTGTCTTATGCTTTAATTATGGAATAAATAAAGTCGATAAATTCATGCTCAGTCATTGACTGCCAACTTTGTTAAAGAAGTTCATATTCAACCAAGAAGTCTCTCATGAAGAGCGTGCAGCCAAAGACCAAGAGGTAAATCCCTCTCGGCCGAGAGGTAAATTCCTCTCGCTGAAGTCAAAGATTGAAAGGTAAATCCCTCTCGGCCGAGCAGTAAATCCCTCTCGTCAGCCTGAAAGCTGAAGTTAAAGCTCGGGGACAATTTACCTCTCAGCCAAGAGGTAAATTCCTCTCATTGATGTTAAAGATCGAGAGGTAAATTCATCTCGCTGAAGGCCGAGAGGTAAGTCCCTCTCGGCCAAGAGGTAAATCCCTCTCGTCAACCATAAGGCTCCAAAGACAAAGACCGAGAGGTAAATCCCTCTCGATCGAGCGGTAAATCCCTCTCGTCAACCAGAAGGCTCCAAAGACAAAGGCCGAGAGGTAAATCCCCCATGGCCGAGCGGTAAATCCCTCTCGTCAAAAACTTCAAGCCAAAGATCGATAGGTAAATCCCTCTCGACCGAAAGGTAAATCTCTCTCGGTCGAGAGGAAACAATTTGAAATCAAAGACCAAGAGATAAATCCCTCTCGGCCGAGTGGTAAATCCCTCTCGCCAACAATTTGAAGTCAAAGACCGTGCGGTAAAAACCTCTCGACCGAGAAGTAAGTCCCTCTCGCCAATAATTTGAAGTCAACGATCGAGATGTAAATCCCTCTCGCAAACAATTTGAAGTCAAAGACCGAGTGGTAAATTCCTCTCGGTAGAGAGGTAAATCCCTCTCGCCAACAATTTAAAGTCAAAGACCGAGTGCTAAATCCCTCTCGCCAACAATTTGAAGTCAAAGACCGAGCGGTAAATCTCTCCCGACCGAGTGGTAAATCCCTCTTGTCAACAGTTTCAAGCCAAAGACCGAGAGGTAAATCTCCTCGGCCAAGAGGTAAATTCCTCTCGCTAAAGTCAAAGACCGAGAGGTAAACTCCTCTCGGCCAAGAGGTAAATCCCTCTTGCCAACAATTTGAAGTCAAAGATCGAGAGGCAAATCCTTCTCGGCCGAGAGATAAATCCCTCTCGCCAAGAATTTGAAGTCAAAGACCGAGAGGTAAATCCCCTCGGCCGAGAGGTAAATCCCTCTCGCCAACAATTTGAAGTCAAAGACCGAGGGGTAAATCCCTCTCGGCAACAATTTGAAGTCAAAGACCGAGCGGTAAATCCCTCTCGCCAACAATTTGAAGTCAAAGACCGAGAGGTAAATCCCTCTCGCCAACAATTTGAAGTCAAAGACCGAGCGGTAAATCCCTATCGACCGAGAGGTGAATCCCTCTCGCCAACAATTTGAAGTCAAAGACCGAGAGGTAAATTCCTCTCGGCAACAATTTGAAGTCAAAGACCGAGCGGTAAATCCCTCTCGGCCGAGAGGTAAATCCCTCTCGCCAACAATTTGAAGTCAATGATCGAGAGGTAAATGTCTCTCACCAACAATTTGAAGTCAAAGATCGAGTGGTAAATCCCTCTTGCCAACAATTTGAAGTCAAAGACCGAGAGGTAAATCCCTCCCGGTCGAGTGGTAAATCCATCTCGTCATCAATTTCAAGCCAAAGACCGAGAGCTAAATCCCTCTCAGCCGAGAGGTAAATTCCTCTCGCTGAAGTCAAAGACCGAGAGGTAAACCCCTCTCGTTCGAGAGGTAAATCCATCTCGCTAACAATTTGAAGTCAAAGACCAAGAGGAAAATCCCTTTCAACCGAACGGTTTACCTCTCGCCAACCAGGAAGCCTGGTAACAACGACTAAGTATCAAGTACGCATCCAATCGGCCGTATAGTACAAATGACAAGATTCAATACATGAAATCATTCGGCTCAAATAAGATACAACGACTTGAAGCACATGGAAAGCAAGCTCCTCATTACAATGAGAACAACCTCCCTCAAACTCATAAGTCCTATAGTTAACCATTCGGCTAAAGTCGAACGGTTAACTCGAACTTGGGGGACTTATGTTACTATGGGCTCATAGTCGACCGATCGGTAAAGATGCAGGAGAGCCTCTACGTCATTTTGGGCTCATATTCTACCGATCGGTTAGGACCACATACGACCCTAAGGAACTGAACAGTCAGCTTGCGGGAAAAAGTCTCTTAGCCGTTTAGTCCCGACAAGTCTCTCATTCGTTCGGTCCCCACAACTGTTGAGCAAAGTTAATGCACAAATAAATGTGGTAACGGCTACTGTTAGACAGTGAAGGTTTGCATTAATGACCATTAAGAGATAAATTAAATTGTCAGATTCCTTTAAACTCTATAAGTAAGGGTTTAGGTTCGAGGTAAACTCACTGACACTCAAAAATACTCCATAGTGATAACAAAATCACTTTCTTGAGAGCTAAGGCTCCATAACCTACGCCTAACTTGACCGTCGGAGTGCCTTTTGCAGGTACCTTCCCCTTTTTTCCACGAAGTCAACC